ACCATATGTCTGCGCATCAACTGTTCGGCTTTGGATAATGTGGGAGACTGCACACTGATCAGTATTGTTTTCTCTTTTTACCTGCAGGGGAGGGCTTGGTGAGACCCGACGGCGCCTTGGGGACAGGTGAAAAAATCAAGAAGCGCGTTAAGACGCCATACTCTCTTAAAAAGTGGCGACCCACCACATGGGTGATCTCCACCGACACCCGGGGTCCGGAGGTCAACAACAACGGGTCCACCCGAGGGCAGGGCCACACCCAGAACGGGCCCAAATCCACTTCAGCCATCTATCTGCAAGGCGGAGGCTTGGCCAGCGAGCCCAGTGACACACAAGTGTGAATTCAGAGCTTCTACCTGGACTGAGATAAACACAAAGGATTAAATAAATAAATAAAACCGCGCTGCTCTGCTCTGAAACAGCAAGAAGGACGCTGCGGAGTGTGTCGCGATCAGTCGAACCTGATCTTGTACATTCATTAGGTCCGTCTCGCTCCCTCGTGTCTTTCCGACGGCATCGCTTTAAATGGAATCCAGCTATGCAGCGTTCTCGTTCATCGTTCTTCTCCATCTCCTTTCGTTGCTTTCTTTCGGTTTTCTGCCCCCATGGCTCCCATCACAAGCATAGCGATTAATCAAATGGGTTTATTTTTACTCCCCATGTGCACTTTCAACCAACTAAAAATCAGTGTTCCTAACCCGCGTCTGTCGCGACCGCCCCATAAAGTGGTCTCTAAACTTAAATAGGCGATGACAAACAATCAACACTCTTACTTTGCTGTACGAAGCACGTTTAATGTAAGCTCTGTAAAAAGATGAAAAGATTTGATGTCTTAAAGACGGAACAAGCTACTTTTTTTTTTATATTATTATTTCTGTATGCAATACCATTTGTCTTTTAACCATGTATCTGTTTTTTTTTAACTGTGCAATAGGATGTAGTTTTTAGATGCTTTTGACGTTTTTACGGCTTCCTTTTTTTAAAATCTCATCAATATTTTGATACGTTAATCTTCGTTGCACTTATGAATTGTCACAATCGTTATGTTTTGCTTTACTTTAACAATCCACGAGCGATCTCCGTCCCCGTGAGCTCAAGAGGAGAAAATGGATGACAATCCTCTCTTCTTTTTTTTTTTTTTTTCCCCTTTCGCCTCTGAGCCGTCTTTAAAGGAGGGGGGACACAAACAATAACAATCGACCCGAGCCGCCTGGAGGACGTGGGTTCTGTCACACTGCTGTTCTTAACACTCAATCACCTGAATCAACCCGGCGGAGCGACCTGTTACATCACCTGACCTCACTGTGGACTGACTGAAACACTACAAAGCCCAGATTCTGCTGTTTTGCGTTTGAAACCAGATACTTAAAAAAAAGAAAAGAAAAACGTAGAAGCACGCTGGATATTATTTCTGCTTCTAGTTCTCATCCCTTGTTTGAATGACTGGTTCACTGTGCGGGTGGGTGTGTGTGCGTGCGTGCGTGTGTGCGTGTGTGTGTGTGTGTGTGTGTGTGTGTGCGTGCACGTGCTATAGATCTTTGTCAGCAAGCATCATACGTAGAGCCGTCACGGCCTGTACAGGCGTGCTTAGACATCGTCATACTTATTCTATATTTTCAGCGCTGCTTCAGGGCATATGACAAGATCTCATTTATGTTTTTGTAATCTGTAATTTGTATTAAAAAAAATGAAGTTATGTGTATTGCATTAATATTTGCTTTATTTTTTATGGAATTCTGTTGTGCATTCAATGGACACACAACCTCTGATCCCATTGCTATGCGTCTGCTCGGTACAGTTTCTGTAAACACTTTCAAGTCATTATGGAAGAAAATCTCAATAAATGTATGAAATAACGCTTGGCTTTATACAATATGGACTTTTTCCGTGTCGCAAACAGAAAACGGGCAGATAAGGTCTTAAAAATGAACAAGAAAAGGTTAAGAGTAGAGCGTAAAACTGCTACATCGACAGTCACTCATTCAAGGTAAACCGCAAAGTGGCACTGCTGAAGAAGCTGGATGTTCAGAGTGCTGTAGAGCAATGCATCTGAATACTGGATTAAAGTTTCTGTTTATTGTTTTTATGTATATGCAATATGTGTATGTTTGCATCTATTCCTACCACACTTTCCTTTCACTTAACTTTCCAACAATATGCTTAAATATAGCACTCAGAACACAGAATTTATGTTTGAGTTCTTATTGTATCGTCAAATCCCGAACCTCGTTCCGTCTCAAACTCGGCTTGGACACTTCATCATCTATCTAAGGACCTCTGCCAAAATTACAACTCAGAACCTCGTTATGTCTGAATTTTTCGGTCTGGTTCATGGCTAGTGCAGGGGTCAGCAACGTTTACCCAAAGAATCATTTTTACCTTCACTACAGCTAATTGAACTGTCCATGAATGGTGCTCAACCTTTCAAAACAAAATAGTTTGTTTTACAATATCTACAAAAGGAATCAATTTAGATTTTTAAGTTAGAGGTAAATTATCTAAATTATGTTTTTAGGTTTTAAACTAAAAAAAAAAAGCATCACTCTTTAATTTATAGAACATAATGAATAAAATCTATTTAATGAAGAGCTATTTTTTTCTTTTTATAGAAAATGTAGTTTCCAACAATATGACCAAAATATTACTTTACAAAAATAATTCATTATACTATTAGTATATTAAAAAGCAGCTAAATCTAGCGTTTATTACTTTTTTATGTTGAAGCACTGGTTCATTTTTTTTACATTTACTAAGAGCCACAGTGGAACTAATTGCAGACGAGAATGCAATTCTCTAAATTCTAATGATTGGAAACATTTTCTGTTACGCTGTTTTGTTTTAACATTTGTGTTGTAGTTATAATTTGTTAACTTGAATTAGTTCCCTATGTTTATTTATTGTTTGTCTTGGTCCCCTCTTCTCTACCTTCCCCTCATCTTCTCTTCTCTTGTAAGCTAACTTTTTAGCATATATTCCCCTGTGTTTTCTAGAGGTCAGTTTTTGTATGTTATTCTTGTTTGACATTTTATTTTGAGTCATTTTAGATGCTTTTTGGTGATTTATTATTATTATTATTATTATTATTATTATTATTATTAAATGGATCATATTTTTCATATCTTTGTCCTTGTGACTTACTGCTTGGTCCATGACATTTTAATGTTTTGAAACATTTAAGTGCGACAGAAGAGCAAAAACAAACCTTGTAATTATTAAAACACTTTTATGACGCACTGTAAAGTTAAATTCAACTCACAATTTGGCAACAGTGTTTGATTTCAACACCGAGACACTCATAGAACACTATTAACACTTACGTTTCTTTTTTCAGTTTTCTTCGTCTTTGAAAATGGAGCAAACGCGTTTAAATTTATTTTTAGCATTTTTCAATTGACATCACTCCTCTGTTTCTATTGAAGTACTTTCTCTAAGAGACTCTAGAGGGAGACATTTTCCACCTAGAAGTTGTTTTTCTCACCGCCTCGCCGTCTGCTCCTCGCGCCCCTAGCAACTGCAGCATCAGCGCGAGCGGCGCAGTGCTGGAGCGCTACGTCACTGCTCCTCTCTGGCTGCATCAAGTTTGTAGGAAACTACCGGAAATGCGCCGACTTGACTATAAAAGTATAAAGGCCGATATTGAATCCTTAGTTTCGAAATGTACAAACAGCCAATTTTTTAGGAATCCGTCTCAAATATAATAAAAATTATCCTTATTAAAAACGTTGACTACCAAACATATTACATCGTAGGAGCCTAATACAAAACGTATTTACAGACTTCACAGGATTACCTTAGAAAATCGGCTGCAACAGTTTTTAACCTTTTAAATCTAATACACAGGGAAACAATATGAAATCAATTTGAAATTCTTTTTTTTTAATCCTTTAAAATTCTTTCTTTGAGTTTGCAAATGGAGAGCTTGCAGATCCTATAATGAGCACTAGCACCTATCTGATTTTCAGGAACAGCGTCCCAGCAAGATAGCTGCAACTTAAAACAATGGAAAGGGTTACAAAACTCTTTCAAGAAGTGAAAACTAATTGTTTGATTTCTTATTAACAAACAATATTTTTTTTTCCCTACTGATGATGAGGTAACACAACAGAGGAGATGAAATGCATACCTACCCAGCAACAAGGTTACTCTACAATATCATGCAGGTCTTTAAAAGTTGTACAGTCTGAGAAAGTATTTGGAAAGTTTTAGGAAAGTAACCTGCAAATCTTTATAGGTTTTTGGAAGCACTGGGTAAATAAAGGAAGTTTTGTACATACAAGTAACTCTCAAGTTCCAGGTAACTGTGTGGTGGCTTCTTTGAAATTGCCTTATAAGTTCCATAAAAATATCAATTTAATCTTGGGTAAAAAGACTGAAAGCCCCAGGAAACATGCAGGAAAGTAACTTATGCATTGTGCTTTACAGGTAAGATCTTGAAAAGTATGAGTAAGTTCCATCACTTTTCCAAATGCAAAAAGTAAGTTCTAAGAAAGTACCGAGTAAGTCCTGGAAAGTAAATTTGGCGTGCTATCAAATTTTATGAACCAACCGGAGTCCTGAGCACCTGTTTATAATGGCTCTTCACTTATTTTGAAATAAATCAGCGGAAGTTGAATTGTTTACTCACGAGCTTCACACTGGTCCCTTCTCCCGTCGTGTCAACCAGGCTCGCCCAGCATCACCGCCTTCTTCTTTCTATTTCCTCTGTCTTTTCTCTTCCTCTATTATTGTTTTCCTCCCTATTTGTTTGTTTGTTTGTTTTTTTCAGCACCACCCGAGCTCGGTGCGCAGCCATTTCTCTTTCCGGTAACTATTTTTTTTTCCCACCGACCAGATGGTCCGCCGGTAGTCGCGCGAGCTGCGGTGTCGCATCAATCCTACCAGGAGGGGAGAGAAAAAAAAAACAACCACGACGACTGGGAGGCAGTGTCATACCAACCCAATTCGTACCGACATTCTTTCTTGTTGCAATTTTACCCACGAAGCCCGTGCTTTGACCTTTTCCATGTCTGCCTGTGTCTGTGTGGAAGAAGCCTGCAGCTTGCTCAGCCTTTTTCCTCCGCCTCTTTAGCATCTTCAGGAGGCGGCAAACAGGGGCTGGGCTGCTCCATGCTCTGCTGCATTTATTTCCTGCAGGTCAGTGTATTATTTATGTATTTATTTATAATTATTATTATTATTGTCTGCATGTAGCTTGAATTGTTATAATATTGACTAAGGGAGGCAACATTTGCAAAGCATGCATGTTGTTTTAGTATTGATGCGAGGGGATGTGGTGCACGCTTCTCTCCATGTAAACAAAAGCGGCCTACATTGCACTCTGCAACCACATCTTGCACAATTTATTATTCATTTTAATTTATTTAGGATTATGTCGGTTGCGTTAAATATGTTTTCTTAATATTCCAGGCATGTTATTGGCGTGTTGTTGGGTTGATTTTTGTTTTTTGGCTTTGCTCTATCGTGTTTTTAAATGACAGATCCGAGATGACATGCAGATGGAGCATGCGGAAGCAGAAAGAGCTGGAATAAAATGAATGATTTATGAATGACAAACAGCTTGGGTAAAAATATATTTTACTATATTAGAAAAAATATGTAAACAAATAATGAATATGATTAGTTTTAATTAAAAGTTAAAAGCAACGATTATTCCGTCAGCTGTTAAAATAATATAAAATATAAAAGTGACACAAATGAAAGTCAACGTATTGGCAGTGTGACGATGTCATACTGGTCACAAGGGGGCATGGTCTCCCTCCTTGTGAGGAGGGAGACCAAGGACCAGTATTTAATATTTAGTATTTTCAACTAGACAGAATGATTACCGGGTTGCTATCTTTAGTTCCTTCTACTATTAGCGTTTAACGCAGTTAATACAGCTAACATTATTTACTGTAAACAGTCTTAACTGTCCTGGCAGCAGGGCTACTAAAGTAACAAGAAAAGGCTAAAGTGTTGATGAGCTGATGCCCAAACTCCCTATTCAGCTTCAAAACACACACAGACACTCCTGCTGCTGTGTGTTAATAAAGATCACCAAGTCCCTTCCCCGCCTCCCCCCGCCAGGTTCCCTAGCAACAGTGATGTGTTGCTGGTCAAGGCTCCTTCCAAATTTAGCTCTGGGACCTGCACAGCCAAGCAAAGCTGTTTGGACATGTGAATAAATGGTGGATATGTTGTGATTAAAAGTCTTCAAAATGGGAAAAGCAGTAGAAGAACGTGATATTGCCATTGTTTTTTCTTTCTAAATCATCAGGTATGCATAATGAACCTTTAGATATATATAGGTCAATAATGCATCAATGCAACAAAACAACCCACAGTAGCTCCCATCTGGGTCAGTTAGCCAAAAACTGCATGTCCTCTAATGCCCCTACCCCACCCCGCCTGTGTCTAAAGCTGTTTTAATGCCATTACCCTGGGGGGGTATATCCGCTCTGCCCAGCATGGTTGGGATTAAACCTAGACATACCAACGTGGAAGGTTCACAGCCTTATCCATCAGGACAGCTGTGTGTCTGTTGATTTGTTTACCGTTTGCAGACATTGTTTGCATTCTCAGGCCTCCCGACTCATCTTTCTCCTTTGCCACCATCAGACCGTGGCCTTAACCATCTGCGCCTCCCTGCGGCTCTCCGCCGGCGTTGGCCTCCGCGCCCTCTGAACTCGTCTGTTCCACCTTCCTCCATTCTCCTCGCCGTCTCCCGCCATCGCGTCCAGCTGTGGCCCTCACAGGGCGCGCTCGCTGGCTCTCACCTGACAGGTCCCTGGCCTCAGGACGACAGCCAGCAACAACACGTTCCCTATATGAGGGACAAAGCGACGCAGGTGAGTGTTTGTTCCATGCTCATGCGCTTTACAATGTAAAGTTCTTTTTTTTCTTCTTCTTCCTGAGCCATTTCAAAACATTATAAATGCATATTTGACATCACAACCACAAACATCAGTGTATTTTATTGGGTTTTAGGTATAGATAATCACAAAGTAGTGTATAATTGTGATGTAGAATATAACCTGTTAACAGTTCCTTTATTTAGATGCTTTCAAAACTAGGGAGGCACTTTTCCACTTTTCTCACTTCCGATACCGATACAGATATCTGAGGTTTGGTATCGGCCGATACCGATCTGATACAGAAAAAAGGTGCTGAACTGACTTAAAATGTTTCTTTTCTTAAACGCAGACATAAATGTACTGAATTACAAATACACTGGTGCAGATAATACTGCACCAATACAGAACACTAAAAACACCAATAGCTTCACAAGCTACAATCATGTAAAAAAAAAAAACAACACATCTGCAGTTTGTTCAGTCAGTGCAATTAGGAGAATAACAGCCAGTGCAAAATAAATAATACAGAAACTGACAAAAACAATGAGGTGACTTCCTTGGTCAAACGTAAAAAATTGTGACAGGTGCAATTATAAATTCTAAATATAATGTAAAATAAATAATAAATGATATTGTTGAGAGGATAAAGAATAGAATTAGACTAAATAGATCTGCCCTTACAGATCATTGTCACCAATACCAGATCTAGAATTGTTTTCAACATTGATACAGATATTAATATCAAATCGGTGCATTTCCGTTCAAAACATTATTTTGATTTGACACAGATTAGATTGTGTCTGTCAGCTGAAGCAGCTCAAGTTTGTGTTTGTGCCTTTTTTTTCCACTTCGAGGCAAAATGTGACTGTCAGCGTGTCAATAAACACAACGAGGTTCAGGGAGGTTGCAGGTGGTTGCATCATCGGGCTGCGTTGCTTGTCAGTCAGTGACAGTCTTCGAACAAGACTCCTGATCAAAGAGATCTTTCTGCCACAGCACATCAATCCACCGCAAAGGACGAATAGCAACATCCTTTTTTTTTCCTTTTGAATTCTAAACGCTAAAAATGATAATAAAGTATGTTGCTATATAAGGAAAAACGTGGTGTTTGCATTCATCTCAGACCCCCAGGGCCTGGGCAGATGAGAGGAGGAGGGGCTCTCACAAACGCTCGGCCTCCTGTGGGAGCACCGACCAACTCAAGGAGGTCTGCGTCCCACTTTTCTCTTGGTCGCCTTGCACATTTACACTGCTACCGGATCTATGGGTACGTTCCAGCAACATTGATATTAATATTTTCTTCTCCAGATTGCCAAATTGCGTCAGCAGCTCCAGCGCAGCAAGCGCAGCAGCCGCCATCGGAGGGACAAGGACCGCAAATCCCCGTTCAACGGCAGCCATGCCATCATTCAGTCACAGGTGATCATGCCCTGATTCTGTATTAACACATGTAACCAGAGCAAAACAGTATTACTGACTTTTTTCAGAAGTAAAAAATCAGTAATACTGTAATTTAATGTAATTGCATTCCGTGATCAAACTAAAAGATTTTGATCAGCGGCTTCTTCTCGCTGATTATCGATATTCAAAAAGCCCAACCGGCCAATTACGATTCTGGTCAATACCGATTTTTTTGTCTGAAAAGTATTAAATATAGCGATGAAGTTGGCAACAGTGGGGTGAGACTATTTAACTCCACATATGCAGACGTGACCTGGTGGGCAGGTCACTAACAAAAACCCTATAATTCAAACCATTCTGTGAAACAACAGTCCCAAGTTAAGTTGAGGCTCCTCACTTTGAAGTACATTTTAACTTAAAAATACTTAGTAATAGTAAGTTCAATTTAGTTGGAACTCGTATGACGCAATTTCCTTTAAAGAATAGTATTTTCAGTCTGGAAATGTCTTCTGGGCCAAAAGACGTCACCATCCTTGTTAGCGGATGAGAAGCATGATACAGTAATCACACTGTTATTTGTTGCTTTCTGTAGTTTGTCTGCTGTAACAATGGTTCCGATGGGTGTTCTGCTTTCTAAACATACTTCCTCATATTTGTGCAGTCGCCTATGCCCAAGACCATCCTCATACCAATCCCTATATCCAAATCCTCGGCTCCTCGCTTCCGCAACAGCGTGGAGGGCCTGAACCAGGAAATCGAGCGCATCATCATCCGAGACACCCCTGAGAAGGATGAGACCATCGTTGTGAGTCCCCTAGAACATGTTGATGCATTCCATGAAGGATAGCAGGTTACATTGCTGCAACGCTGTTTTTGTGGCTTATTCACCTAGCCGCAGGATGTCCCCGATGGCCACCGTGCGCCCCCACCAGTTCCCCCTCAGCGCAGCAGCAGCACCCGCAGCATCGACACACAGACTCCATCGGGGGGTGGCCTTAGCGGCAACCACAGCAACTGCAGCAGCCGTCCGGACTCCATCTCCCCCTCCTACCTCAGCGTCCTCAACGACACGGCTGGAGGCAGCCCCTACGATGAGAAAGGTGAGTAGAACCAGATTTTATTCAAGATTCTCTTACAGTGCATTCTGAATTTTAGCATTCATACTTTAAAAATGGGCAATAAAAACTCCTTTTAACCAGAGCTAAGTCCGTGCTCCCCACTGCCCAAGTACGCCGCCTCTCCCAGACCCAACAACAGTTACATGTTCAAGAGAGAACCACCAGAGGGTTGTGAGAAGGTCAGAGTATCTGAAGAGTCCATGTGAGTAGTTTTCAAGTTTTATGATGCATCCGAAACTCATAGAAAAGGAATACTGATGTGAACGACTATGTGTCACTTTGTCTTAAGGCCCAAACCTCTGGAGGAGATCCCTCCCTTCCTGTGTCCCGACCGCAACAAGGTCAACTTCATCCCCAACAGCGGTTCTGCCTTCTGCCTCGTCAGCATCCTCAAGCCCCTGCTTCCCGCCCCGGACCTCAACTTTCGCCCGGGTGTGGGCCTCCGGAGCCTGTCCCCATCCCTGGTGCCTCTGTCCACCCAGCCCTGTCTCCTGGAGGAGCCTGAGAGCTTTTGACTGCCCCATTGGCCTCAAAGTCAACAACTCTCTTTCCCCTTCCTATCAGCTGAATCAGAAAACACTACGGAATCAACCGTTTTGCTCCTAAAACAAAACAAAAAAAAAATGCCTTTAGCATGCCAGCTAAGCTCTCTCTGATGTCCTTCTTTTGTTAAAAAGCTCTTCCCACTGCCTCCTCCTCTGACGTGAGACTCCTGCCTTCCAGAGCAGGTGTTTGTAGCTCACATTTCACCGCTTTCTTCTACCTTCAACACTGGTTCTGTTCCTGTTCTTCTAGGAGGAAACGGGGAGAAAAAAAAGACAGACATTTCTTTTGATTTCATCGTATTATACCATGGCGCCTTTCCACAGACATATCTCTTTTTCTATCTACGGTTGTTTGTCTTGATATAAATTATGCCTTCCATTATGACAAAAAAAAAAAAAAAAAAGGCCGCTGGTTTTCTTGGAGACCGCCAGATCGACCACAGAGGTTAACTTTGGTGCTGCCAGATGAATCGTAGCATACCTTGAAGGGATGTGAGAAATTCAAAAATGTGCCTGATGTTTTAGACCGCAGTTTCCCTGAACCATCATAATGCTGTGAGCGTAATTATGGTCATTGCAGTATGAAGGCCGTAGATACAAGCAGCAAAGCAGATAAAGTACAAACAGCGTATCCTTAAAATACTTGCAGACCAAATCCTGGGATCTGTTTGCTACTTTTTTATCAGCCGTTTGCTGGGTATCTATGGGAAACACAGGCCAGGGCTATGACGTACGACGCGTGTTCAACCTGTGTCTGCTTGCCCCTCGCCACGCCCAACCTCCCTTCAGCGCCAACCTTTTGCTCACCCTCGCCCATCTTTTCTCCGTTTTGCAAGCTCTTTCTCTTTGTTGAGGTCCTCCTGTCTTGGTCGGCTTGTATTGCTTTTGGAATGCATCTACTTGCAGGGTTTTTCTCACGGAGAGGCTGGTCAACCCAAGCTTCCATGCATCCGCAGACCATCGGGGCAATCTGGGTCACAGAAAATAGACAATTTTAAACTATTTCTATAGCCAGCAAAGAATCAAATGAAACAGTGTACTGTTAATGGTTAAAACAAACTACACTTAGTAGAGCATCTTTATATTTAGTCTCTTTATCGTCCTAATTTCAGATTGACTTAACCTAGAACTGGTGTGGCCCATATAAACGTATATAATCCATTACTATGCTAGAGATGTACAAACAAATTTGGTACGAGGTTGATCGGTTGATTAACATCAAAACTGTATGGTAGTTGAAAGCTATCTACTTTCAATACTCCCGTGGTCGGAGTATTAAGGATTCAATATCATAAGATATGATATTGAATCCTTTTGATCATTTTAAGAATACCTAAAAAAAAGAAAAAAAAGAAGAAAAAAAAGTGGAGCTTTTTCACCTTGCTAAGGGTAGACCTCCTAAAATACGTAATTCCCTTTAGAAATCTTCCTGGACAAATGCTATCATACAAGATTCAATAAAGTGGTCATGAACTTTACTAAAATGTTACTTCTGAGAATTATTTCTCAGAAGTAACAAACAGTGTGAGATATTTTACCGTCTGTCTGGTATCGAACTGGCTAGAATTGGAAATGTTGGTAGTTTTTAAATCTTGGAATTAAGGTAAAGAATTTCACAGATTGAGCTGTTTTGGTAATGCTAACCATGCTAATTGATTACATAAGTTTCTAAAAGGCTTAAATATCTCAACTACATCGGAATTTTCTGCTTGAAAATTTTATGAGTAATGTTTTACAGCAACTGCTGTGTCAAACTTGTAATCCTAAATAGCTAATGATTGTTAATGATAAATTTTAAGGGAAACAGAACTGGCTCAAGTCAATATCCACAGATCAAAGTCTTACAAAACCAAAGATTGGAAATCAGTTCCAAAATACTTTAATGGTTCATCTCTAATAGTTTTTTTTTTTTTTTTTTTTCTTTGGTTGTGGGTGGTAAGAAAATATTAAGTCTAAACTGATTGGCCAATTTGTCTGACACCTGCAGTATTACAGTTTTTCTAAAGAAGAAACAAACAAAAGCTTACCTTTCAAGTCATTAAGCAACGGAGCATTCGGAAATTGTGCAAAGCTGAAATTCTTGTCGCGTGCCATATTTTTGGATGACTATTTGACGAACATTTGTTTTTGAAAATTGTTGCAGTTGCTTTGGGAAAGAACTTAGCCTAGCACTGTCTTAGTCATGCTCATGATAAACAGCAGCTGTTTGAGTGTCTCCAGTTATTTCATTGTCTACTTTTTTACATTGATGTCTACAATTAAGCTGTATGAAATTCACAAATTCTACATTTTAGAAAGACTAAATAATCCAGAATAATACAAATTAACTAAAATACACTTCACTTTTTAATGAAGATATAACAAAAGTTTCACTGAGATAAACTGAATCCGTTTAGATGACTGTAGTTTACACATTGACAGCCTCTCCGTGTCAGAACCCACTCTCCTGTATTTTTTGTAGATGTCACAATTAATTAACGGTGCCTGCTACAGTGGGACAGGAATGTACTGGACTTGTAAATACAGAGGCACTGTGTTTGTATTACTGGCTGACAGAGATATGTAATGGGACGAGGCAAACAAGTGTAACGTACGACTTCTCAGCTGAGTACTGTGAATTACAACTTGACTCATTATTGTGAATAATAACGTATTTATTTATCAGACAGGAGAGGAATTGGGTCTTTGGAGATTTCTAAGCAAGAACTGACATCTCAGGTCGTAGAGAATAGGACACAAAGATATATGCTAACATAAACAGAGCAAAACGACAACTGCTTTCTATGTAGCCTCACACGGTGGAAATCCCGACTGACTTTAATTTGTAGCAGAGTAGATGTAGAAAAGTGTGGATGTTATTTGTTCAGCGACCCGACTTGGAGCAACGGCTAGTTACGACGAAAAAGGGAGAGAAAAAATAATAAAAAATTGGCCTGTTCCGAAATCCACTTGCTGAAACACAATCACGACGATGGCGGCATGTTCCGACTTGTCGCTTGGAAATGTCACCAAAAAAATATAAAAAAAATAAAAATTAAAAAAAAAAGACAGAAAAAAATTAAATATCTGAAACATGGATGCTTGTTTCAGTGTGGATAAAAAAACAAAACATTTTGGAATGAGGCTTTGTTTCTTTGTTTGCGTGTCCAGTTGATTGGGAACCAAACTGCCAAGTTTTCATCTTTTAAACCCCTTTGAGTGAAATAAAAGGCATAGTTAAAATAAATGACTCGTCTCTTATTGACTTGAGAAATACATTCTTTTATTTTCAGTGTGAAAAGTAAGATTTACACTTGATGTGACAGAAATAGTAATATATTTTTTTTAAGTTGCATTAGAAGGTAAATAAAGTGAAACATAATTGTGTCTTGTAGGTGAGTCGGGATATTAATGTGCAGTTTGTTAAATATGTCGGCAAACAAATATCCCAACTGAGGATTTTGGTGCATTTTGGACCCTTTTTATTTTCCATTTTTAAAAAATCCCTTTAAGAAACAAATTTGCACTAAATCACACTGAAGCATTCAGTTGTCAGCAATCCACACATGGAGATGAATCCCTTTTTGTTAAGCAGCTCCTTTGGATTGATTCAGTTAAACACAGATGCTATAAATACACGGCACATGAAGCTAAAATAGTCAATATTTGAGTTTTAATTCGTAGTTGTTATGGTTTTGTATCTCACAATGCCCAGAGAGCTGATTATTATGACTATGATGCACCAATCATTTGCAAGCGAAAGAGGTCTTCTTGGCCTTAGACTTGTGATTATGGATTCAGTAGATGGAATTTCAACCATGTCATTTGGAGATGTTCTATTTCGTATAGGCTTCGCCCTTTAAGGCCATCGCTAGAGGGTTTATTCCTCGTTACACACCTTGAATTTCAGTCTGAGAATTCACAGTTTAAAGTTAGCTTCAGACCATTTGACTAAATCTCAACCACATGTCGAGGCATTTGGTATCTGCTGCATCATGAAGAACCCATTAAATGGCTCAGTTAGCTCTGCTTTTCCCAGTTTAGCTGTGACAGGATGTGGAAAGATGACGTGCCAGACTAATACTTTATGACCAAATAATAGGGCTCTTGCAAAGTTAATTTGTAGTTCTGGGTTAATGTTGAAAAACTAAAGGAAGTATGGAAAAATATATGTATATCTAGAAGTCATCCATCACATCCATCCATGTTTTTCTGTCAGGTTTTATATTTGCTAAGAACAACAGATCTCTGGAAAAATCTGGAAAATTGACCTACAAATGTGAAAGAACCCCGAAATATGCGGTTCCATTTCTAATTAGCAGAAGTTAACGACGGTGAACAAGACAGTTACTGTTCCAACTGCAATTCATAGTCATGTTAGCAAGCTAGTGTTAGCTTTCAGGAGATATGTTGACTTTCTGATTTGGTCATTTCATCTGCAGTTGGAAATATTTATCTGGCTGAGTGGTCAGCTTTCTAAATCCCAAATCTGACATCTTGAACCTTTCTAAACTAAAATGAAAGTTAGGAATACCCGTTTCTAAAACTGGGTCTGGCTCAATTCACCTCTTTTGCCAGATCGTAACCACCTTTTGACCATTTCCTCCGCTCCAACTTCCATTCGATACACATAAAACAGTCCACTCTGCTTCAGTTCTAGACAAATATCACATAAAATTTACTGCAAAATTTAAGTTTCAACTTATTTGCATTCATTCTGGTTCTGATCTCAGTTTGGGTTTGTTCACTTATGACATTTTATAACCCCAGAGGAAACCAATAACTTTCCAGTTGTGCTCATTGTTTATCAGTCATTTAACCATATCTCATTATCAAAAAACTATTGAGAAAAAGAATTTTAACTTTAGCTGTTGGATTGCATTTTTCTGTACCTGCCCTGTTCTGTCGTATAGTTTGCTTATTTTCTTTGGGCAAAAGGTGTGCAGACAAGTTCTACTGCAAACAGATAAACATGGCAGTAGCTCATGCACAAAGCAGGACAAACTGCTTAAATGATGCAGCCGCACAAGTAGGTAGGGGCTGATTTAAAACTAGTTTCCAAATCAATAAAATGTTCCTTTCTGTCGTTTAAGGCTCCATTAATGAGATGCCACAGAAAGCGATGGGAGTTTTCTCCAATTCTATAGAACATGAAAGACAAATATGGCTTTCTGGAAAGTACCCAGCAAACATCAGCTTGTTATATTAGTTTTTACTCCATAAAGAGCTGAAAGTGTACAATTAAAAAGCACTAACTACACATTTTGGCTTTAAATTTTTTGTTTAAATGCAATGGAAGTGTAGTGGTTTCACTTTGCCTGTAGGCTGATAAATGATGGATTAGTGTGTCGATTTTTCGGGGTCAGGATTTCTGAAAGACAGACCTATCACATCCCAACCTATGAATCATTTGTGACAATCATGTGGTACTTCACACAAACCGTTTTCAGCATAAAGACTTTTTTTTTTTTTAAATCCACCCTGGATCTCTGGATATGTACACTCGGCAAAACAAACACAGAAAGCACACGGCAACATCCAAAACAAAGGCGGGGCCCAGACATCCTCCCTAACACGAACCACCGCAGCTTCGGTGTTTGACTTGGTATTAAAGTCGGTTACAGCAGCTGAGAGTTTATCAGCTCAGTGTTTCGAGCTTCTAAGGAGATTAGTGTGTGTATGTGCTCAATTATGATGGAATGAAAATTTGCTGTAATATAGATGTTTTTTTTAAGAGAGTGAAGGTACATTGAAGCAGCTCAAAGAAGAGGTTCAGGCGTTGAGCAGCTCATCAGCAGAGCGTCCGATGGCGTCGGGGTTGGAAAGCGGGTCGAGGTCGGCGAACAGGTTGAACCACGCAGACATGTCTTTGGATCCTCCTGAAGCTGCTGTAAGGAAACGTCAGACAGAAGGTCAGGTTGGGAAGAAGCAGCTCCTGCTGAGAGGTTTTCTAAAGCCGAGCATCGTACCGTTAGCTGCAGCTGGCTGAGAGCGGGGAGCTGCCTGGTTCTGACCAGGCGGCAGCTGCAGGGGTGGAGCTTGGAACATGGGCGGGGTCACCCAACCTAAAGTATGCAGGGGATACAAGATGGATGAGAGTCGATGTGGAAGTGTCAGTCCATCTTTGACATGTTTTGTTACCGTCAAAGTTTCTGCAGGTGTCACCAAATGAAATTTAAGATTTTTTAAGACCACTATGAATAGAATTTAAGACCTATAGCTCCACAGAAATGTACGAACTTCGTTTATCCAACTGGTAATAAATTTGAACTTACCCATGATAGCCACAGAAAAAGATAGCTAGCTGTTAATATACCCTTCCTAACAAGAAAGAGTACAACCATAGCCTCGACATACCCTTACTAGATAGCTAGACAAGAGTATGTGGAGTTAGCAAGGACATGCTATGGGTATGCTAGCTAGTTAGCAAGGATATGTCGAGGTTATCTAGCTAACTGGCTATGCTGGATAGCTAGGAAGGGTGAGTCAAGGCTATGGTTTCTAGCTAGCTCATTACATTCTCAAGACGACTGAGGCTACTGGCAACAACGGTAGCTTCAACCATCTTGAAAGTGCAACTCAAACTTTTGCCTGACAAATTAAATATGAATATATGATATTTAATATTCTTGTCAAGACAAAATTTAAGACCTGTGATTAACATATTAAGGACAACTTTCTCCATCCAATCATTAACTAGCAGGCTTACATGGTCAACTTACTTTTTAAAATCAATTCAAGACATTTTAAGGCCTTAATTATAGATACACGAATTTCAGACTTTTTATTGCGTCGCGGTGGACACCCCGTCTGCGCTGTGTGGCGGACCTGAGGAGCTCAAACTGTGATCCAGCAGCTGTGACGGCAGGAAGCCTGTGGGGCTGGGTGGGTTGGAAGGGGGACGGGCGGGTCCGGTGCCTGCTGCAGGAACGCTAGGAGGGTCGAACGCCCCGAAGGCGTCCTGCCACTCTCTGCTGAACTCATCGCTGCCCCCTGGGCCCGGGCTAAGGAGGTCCTTCAGGAAAGCCATGTCGCTGCGCTCGCCATCTTCCTCCTCCAGCGTTACCCCTGGTTCTGACGGGATCAGCAAACTGTCACCTAAACAAACAGAACGAGAGGAAGAAGGCTCTGAACATCAGAAAACGCAGCTTAACAGGAAGCAGTTTGTGCTCATTATGGTTGATTATGAAAATGAAGAACGTAAGAATTTCCCCCGCAGCCAAGAAGAGAAGCGTAGGCAAGTGGAAGTCAAAGGTCAAAGTAAAAAGGTGGAGAAAACAACCAGCCAGTTTACCCGAGGCGGGCAGCTGTGGGAGGCCGGACTCGAAGCGTCCGAAGCTCCAGCTCTCGCTCTGGTCACCGTCCTGGGGAGGAGGCGGGACCAGGGGGGTGTCCGTTGGGGGCGGCATGCCGCAGGCCATGAGCATAAGGTCATCGCCGGAGTCTCCAGAGAGCCCTCTGAGGTCGTGCATGGCTGGAATGTTTTTGGTGCGCTGAGATCAGACTCATTCTAAAAGTTTCCCGCTCACACTAACGAGCAGCAGTCCCCATGTGGACAATTTACAGAAAATGAACACACACAGAAAAAAAAAAGAAAGAAAAATCACTTACCACTCTCACCAGCCTTGCTCTGCCCATCACTGCTGAGCTTAAGATCTGCAATGGTAAACAGAATTAAAACTTTTTATTTTGATCAAAACCAAAACAACAAAAACTAAAAAGTTTACAGTAGCCCATCTGAATCTCTTTAAGGAATTATTACAGACTTCTGCTGTTCAACTTGGCTGAACTATTTTGTGTTTCAGCCAACAGGGGGCAGCACTAACCTGAATTAGACGCACTTTCTGCTGGCTTGTCGTCATCCAAGGACACCAGGCTGAGATTAAGGACAAAAGACATTTGAAGAATTTAAGGAAAGACCAATAAAACCAGAGCAACCCGAGAGCAAGGAGGCAGTATTAGCATAGCATCTAAAAGCTATAATATCTTTTTTTTCTCCACATATTCACAACTAGAAAACAAAGAGCAAATCAACTTAAACGCGACACGACTTGAAGTAGTAACTTTGGTGAAAGACGGTTCTTCAAAGTGTTGAATTACACATTTACTTAAGAATATTTTTTACCTTACAATGTGCTGCTTTGTGTTGGTCTAATTTCAATAAATCAAACTAATACATACTGTCAAAATGTGGAAAAGGAAATATAGAATGAATACTTCTGCAAGGATTTGCATGTCTGATTCAGTAATTACACAGACAGGTGAATTTTCATTTCAGTCATTTAAATGTCTTTAAACATTTAAATGACTGAAATGAAAATTCACCTGTCTGTGTTGCTCTGTCGGGCCTTTTCATCCTTCTCTTCTTTTTGGGAAACAGAGATTTCCTCCAGTGGATCCCGTAGATGCTGGAAGATAAAAAAAAAAAAAAGAAAAAGCTGGATTGCTACGTCTAAAGGCAGAATTTCGCCCAGATTCAAAACGCAGCCTGCTGCACCTTGATTGTGGTGAACTGATATGGTATGTGCCCTTGGAAGGCCTCATGGATTCCCGACATGGCGTTGGCCGTTTTCTCCCAGAACTGCAGCAGGGTGGTCTGACGGAACCGGGAGGAGAGAAATGTTTAGTTACTGACGGCCGAGGCCGACACAGACGCATGACGGTATGTGAACTGCAGCGGACCTGGTAGGTGCAGAGGGAGTGAGACAGCATGTTGCAGCGACTTGCTCCCAGCATGTCCACCTTCTGACACACGTCGTTCTTCAGCTTCTCAAACTGGCTCTTAGTCCCTCTGACCTGCGACTGGACCTGAGAGCAGAAACGCACGGGAACGATGAAGCAACGCAGACGGGCAGGACCGAGGAGCGACAGCGATCCAAACGCTTCCTGCCTTGCGGAACTTCTCCAGCTGTTTGTAAGTGTCCGGGTCCAGTTCCTGAGAGACGTCTTTCATCCAAAGCAGCGCTCCCCTGTATTCCGTGCGGGCCTTCTCCATCCGGCTGACCGTCAGCAGCGTGTCGGCAATGGCGCGCCGCCGGAACGTCTCCACTTCCTGGTACATGCGCTGCAACGGCGGGCAAAGCGCCATCCTAAAGACACGAGAAAGAAAAAAGAAAAAGCACAAGCGTTCAGAGTTAAAAGGGTTCGTTTTCTCCAAACAGCAGTTAACTGATGGTCAACTGCAGCTGCTGACCTCTGCCTGGCAGAGGTGCACAGGGCCTTGCTGGTGGCCTCCATCATGTTCCCGGCCTTAGTTCGGTCACGTTCAGCCTGGAAACGCAAGAACAGGCCGAGCTCGTTCTCCTCCTGGGACAACCCTAGGAACAAAAAATGAAAAAGAAAAAAAGGGGTTTAAACAAGAATCAGTCTGTAAATTAAAAAAAAAAAAAAAGAAATGGTTCTGACTCACGTGTGATTCTGTGCTGGTACTTTTCGATCACCTTCAGCAGCTCTGTGCACGTTAGCTGAACGGAGCGGAAGAACTGCAGAAAACGACACGTGGTGAGGAGCGTATCAGAGAAAAAGGAGACGAAGAACTGAAAAAATGTAATTTACAAAAAAACAATAGCAATTATCAAAATACATTCAGGTTTGAGATTGTAACGTGAGAAAAATCTAACATATTTTAAGGAAGTGAAGAATTTTTCCACTGAGATGATTAA